CTTTTTTTTTCCTGGAGACCCATATTTTAAAAGTCAGAAACCTTCGCGACCCATTATTCGTAGATCACAATGAAAAGATGTACTGGAGTCAAGTGCGATTGCGTGTGCGTACCGTCCATAAACAGACCCATTTTTTTTTTCTTCTATGGAGTCCGGGAATCGTAGGTGACACATCGCACCTGAAAAGCATTCTGGGTATGATTTGAAGGTTCACTGACCTATGCTGCGTTTAGTGATGTGTATAAAGTAAAATCCAAAATCCTCACTGAATGCAATGCTATATGTGGTGTATGTTCACATCTCAAACATCGCAGAGAAGGTCTGTGCTGGGAAGTGTCAAACTCAAGGCCTGTGGACCAAGTGCGGCCCACCGTGTTTGTGTTACCTGCGGGAGAACGCAGTTTAGTTAGTGGCGGCTGTTTGCGCTTTTGTCTGGCATGCGGAAAGACAAGACAGAATGCTAACATTAAATACATAGACTAATTAATTATTCATTAATTATAAAAAATATGAGATATAGCCACAGGGGGGAGCTTTTGAACCGGCAGCTATTTTGAGGTTGGATGCAGACAGCTGTTGCGATGACCGTGAACTCTTTGGAAACATGATGCAAGACCCCCCAAAAAAACTCTTGCGACCCACCTGAGGGTCGCGACCCAGTCTTTGAGAAACAATGCTTTATCATATCAGCAATTTTTTTCATGTCATATCTTTTGTATACGAACCAATTTGTCAAAAAAGAACCTGCACGCAAGCAAGAAAAAATGATTGCAAAACAAAAACAAAAACGTGCGCCAGCAAGAAAAAATGATTGCAAAACAAAAACTCGGCGTGTCTTTGAACACATCACAGCGTCCATACCGAAAAGGTTTGAAAGTCTTTACAATGTTTTACGGTCTCCTGTGGGGGAAGAAGTAAATTCATTTTTGTAGAGTCAGACATTTTCGCTTGTACGATCACTGCACACTGCCCTGAAATATAACTGTGTTAGCACATGGCTGCGGGCTGATATTCACTGGTGGTAAGTCGTCCATACACAGAAACAAAACACTGCAGCGCTGCAAGGCGATGAGCCAAAAGTCCAGGGTCTGTTAGCGGAATTGGGGTTCAAGTGATGAGTGAACGGACGAGAAATATTTTTAAGCATGGATAATATCTTTGAGCTCCGGGAGGGGATCAATGCCAATCCCTCAATTTGCTTAGAAGGATTTGTTTCCACTGGATGCTTTTTGCACTTACACACTTTAGGGATGTGATTTTAAAGGAGGTCCTTGACATTTTTGATTTTTCCTTGGCTCCGGGCTGCACGCTCTCTCGCTGCTGAGAAACCACATATACTGGCTTTACGTCGCAATTGCTCGTAGGAACAGATCTTTTTATTGTCTAGAGCGCGGGTCTCTGCGGGGGAACTGACCGCTGTGCTGTCCAAGACAAGCCCAGACGATGCTGGACCGCGCTGAGGTTTTCGTTGCTCTTAATACGTCAACGGTCGGTTGAATTTATGCACTTCCATGTTTGCCTTATGATGTGGATTTTATGGACAATAGCTGTGCCTGGCTGGGCCCAATAATAAATGACAGGTTGATTACAGCTATTCACAGAGTCTCAGCTTTCCACGACTCTCATTCCAATCCTGCAGAGTTCGCTGAAAGAAATGAAGAAATGGGGGGGAAAAAAACTACCTTTATTTTAACAAAGGTCACTGATGAACGCAATTGTAATTTTAGATATTTGGCTCATCTGTGTTGAATGCTGTAATTTAATACTTGCTGGTGACTGTGGGTGACACCGATCGACTACCATCAGAGAAGGGATTGTTGTGTATATTTTTAACGTTTTGGATCGACTACCATCAGAGAAAGGATTGTTGTGTATATTTTTAACGTTTGCTAGAGAATTATGATCAACCTGGACGTAGGTACTGAATTAACATGATCATGTTTGTGATCAAAAGTAGAGTAGAAAATGTTTAGTATCAAATTAATTCAAATATTATTTCAAATAAAGTATAGTAGAAAATGTTTAGTATAATGTTCTACCTATATTACAGTTAGAATATTAAATCAAATTAATTCAAATGTTATTTCAAATTGAAATACGGTCTCTTGTATAAAGTTTCCAAAAGCAAACTGAAAGGTCGCTCTTTAAAAAAAAAAAAAAAAATTACAAGTGCTTTATTAGACACACACACACACACATATATACATGTTGCAGATTTCAATATTCCCTCCCTATATTCCGGTTCTCCTTAACCCCCTCAGTACATTGCAGATTTTTTTTTTTTATTCAATCTCGCAGATTTTTTGCTATATCGCAAAATATAGCAAAAAAAAAAAAAAAACAAACAAACTAGAAGATATTATATAATAATTATACACACGAGAGTTCCGGCTTTAACAAATGTGGATTCTTGTTTTGAAGTTGAGATAAGCGCATTTGCGAACGATCGCTGGTAGCTTTGTTTGCCTAGACGAGATCGTACACAGCAAACTATTGGCTAATACGTCGCGTACTCGGAGTACTCTTGGCTAACTGAGCATGTATCGTAACATCTCTCAGCATCTTCACTTGTATACATACATACATACGTATATGTGTGTATATATATATGTGTATATATATCTGACAAATATTAAACCATTTTTAATGGTTTAAAATATTTTGCCACGTGTCAGAGTTGACCCTTTCCCTGACTTCATCTCCGCTCCGCACACTCACTTTTGGAAATGAACTAAAATGGTCTCCCTCTCCACCCATTCTGAACACAGAAATGGCCGCAACTGGTTTAAGTCACCCATTATTACCGAGGGAGCATTTGGTGTCAGCACTGCTGTCTACTCAACGGTGGCGCCCAGACCACAATAAAGTAACTGGACCGAGATGAAAAAAGCCGAAGAGTGACTTTTCTCCTTTTTCAGGTTTCAGAAGAAAAGGTCCGGGACCTTCACAACCTGAGAGCTCCCCTTGAAAACCTCAATTTTCACTTTAAAAAGGCAGACCAATCTTCCATCCTCTCCACTCTCTCTCTCTCTCTCTCTCTCTCTCTCTCTCCTCATGTGTCCACTGACTTGTTCCCCTAGTCTGGTCGAAGGACGATTACACAAATCTGTCACCCAGGAAATGCCGACACTTTATTTCCTCTCAGACAAAGAGCCAGTGATGGGTGATGAGTTTGTAGCTGCTGGGGGATTTGACAGACTCTGGGGGAATAATAAAGCAATTTCAGCCTGCCAGAAAAGTCGAGGAAGTACAGGAAAAAAAAAAAAAAACACACACACATGAGGAAGATATAAATCACTGGTGTGATGGCTACAGTTCTCTGGTGGAGAAATGAGACAGTTAAATTGTACAGAAAGATGAGCGGAGCATGGCTGCGGTGGAGGAGACGACACGACGGACAAATAAAGATCTATGCCGAGGGGCGGGCACTCAGGAGTACAGGTTTTATGGGAGGAGCCTTTAACCCTTTCATGCATGATGGTCACTACAGTGGACAGCTAGGAAAATGTCATTTTCTGTGATAAGAATAGGTTTTGATGGCAGTGTTGCATAAAAGCCTCTACAGTGGACGCCTGAGAATCACCCAACACTGCCATACAGTGGTCAGCCTTTGCAACTGCAGAATAATTGTGTCAACATTCAAAAAGAAAATTTGGTGTATAAAAACAGAACCAAATCAGTTCTTATTTTTATGTCTAAAAACACATAAAAACATCATTTGTTTTAACTCAGTATATCATTGGTCATGCATCAAAGGGTTAAGAACCTGCCGTTCTTATGTTCTCCGACAGACAGTCCGTCAGGAGATGGTGGAACGTATCCACTCAGACTTGGACGTCGTCTTTTAGTTTTTATTTTGAATATCGTTGTCATTATAAAACATTTTCCTTCGTACGTTTGACAGTCGAGATTATCCCTCTGTCCTAATGCAGTCGCACGCTGACACAAAAATGACGAATCTCACCAATAAGACCCGTCGTACAGTTGTCCCAGACGCAGTAGGATCCAGTGTAATCCAATACAACAGCACCGTCGTAAAGCCCACCTCTATGAAGCCTGTAAATCTTCCGTGTTTGCCGACACTGTCACAGAGGTAATGAATCTGCTTTATGTCTGTTATTGAGGTCACACACACTGAGGGCTGCCGTTTGATTTGAGTGCTCGGCACCAAAGAGCCAACTCATACTGCGTGCTGTGCTTCAAAGTTGGACCATTTGAATATACTTCAGCTTGTTTTTTCGCTGAGTGTTGTGATCCCTAAACTGTCTCCAGAGTGAAAATGGACATCACTGAGAAGTCAGTTCGAGATACTGACTCTCTTTATACATTTATTTGTAGAAAAAGACAAACTATGGTTCGTGGCCCAGATACAGCCTGCTGGGATTTTCAAACAGATCCTTTGTCATATCAGCAATTTTTTCTTTTGTATACGAACCAATTTGTCAATAAAGAAACAAAAACGCGCGCCAGCAAGAAAAAAACGATTGCAAAACAAAAACTCGATTTAAAAAATATCAGCGCGTCTTTGAACACGTATTTGTAGAAAAAGACAAACTATGGTTCGTGGCCCAGACACAGCCTGCTGGGATTTTCAAACACGGTATAGAGGAACGTGATCTTACTGTTTCAGAAACAATTTCATTGCATTGCTTCAAATGAATCAAATGTAATTTCTGTTGCCGCCACTAGATGGCGTCAGTCATCAAATATGCCTTATTATCCTCCTGTTGCCGCCACTAGATGGCGTTAGTCATCAAATATGCCTTATTATCCTCGAAAGTTGATTCTTGTACATATTATTTCACCCATAATTCTACCTCCAACCAATACTCAACTATCCCGCCAGTCAAACATTGAACCTCATTTTGGCCCGTGAGCCAAGGGTTTGCCACACCCGCATCGTAACCCGTCACCAGTCGTCCCCTGTCTTTGCCCTCCACTGGGACTACATGATGTTGTCCACCTGTCCTTTTGCGTATACATGCGCCACTCACTCTTACCTCCTTGCTGCTCTGAGAGTTTTGTATTCAGAGATTGGTTTATGCTCTTTGTTCCAGTGACTGGCATTTGGAACGGTGCAGTCTCCTCCTTTTAGCTGAAACCCACAGCTAAGTTCATCGTCATTCACCAGCGGACTCCTTACGTCCATCGGCATTGAGGTCCACTAAACTGTCTTTTCTCTGTTCCTCGTCTTCTCATGCTGCGTGAGGGGAGACGCGAGTCAAGGTGAAGATGGACTGCGGGGAAAGTAAAAACAAAGCAACCCCCCAGAGGCCACCGAAGGGGATTACACAGAACTTTGTTCTGGTTAGAATTTAATATGGGGAAATATTTTGCCAGTTAATTGTGTAAAGGATTAACCTCTTGTCAAAACAAAATGAAATAAATTAAATTGGCACAGAGACCCAAGAACTAAACATTAAAATGCATTTGCTATTTTGAAGATTTACCAAATTTGCAACTCGTTCCTGCTGCCTGGCAGCTCTGTCTGTCTGTAACATTCTCGGTCCAAAAATATCCACTACCTTGCAAAACATTTTACACTTTATCTCCAAACGACTCAACCTTAACGGTCCCTGTTATCCGCTCATAACTAATCCCGTCTGTGCTGGCCTTTCACTGGGAAAATCTCCAGCGTCTTCCGGCTATGCCGCTCGTCCTTTGTGCAGCACCTCCGTCTACAAACCATACATCACAGCAGCTCTCCTTACTGTCCTACAGCGACATCTTAAATCTTAAATCCTGCCTGTCATAAATCACTCCTGACGCCCATCTCCCCTGCTATCCTTCAGTCATAAATCACTCCTGACGCCCATCTCCATCCATGCACTCTCACCTCGTTTTCTGTTCATTTATTTAGACGCTTGACCTCAGGTACTTGACCTTCGTCACCTCGGCTCCTTGCGTCTCCACCTCGCTGCCTCGTCACTCTCATTAACACCGATTTCTGTCTCGATTTCGGCGCCGACCTGGGCATTTGTTACACCTCCTCCACCTGCGCCGCAGTCTCACCGAAAAACTACAGTGGTGTCTGTGGACATCATGGTTCCGTGGAGCCTCTCGCCTGGATCTCATCTGTCAATCTGTCTCTCAGCGTAACCAGGGAATAGAGCTGATCCTCCATAAAGCCCAACCCCTACCGGGGGTGTCAAACTCATTACCACCAGGGGGCGCCACATCATCAATACAGTTCTCCTTGAAGGGCCGTTATTTTTTCAATTTACAAATATATATTACAATACTCCGTGTAATAAAAAAATAGTTATTTATCAGGTTCAGAAACTCAGCAGCATGGACTTTATTCTAAGGCAGGGGTGTCAAACATACAGCCTGCGGGCCAAAAGTGGTCCACTTGGGGGTTCAATCCGGCCCGCTTCACAAAAACTTCATGTTGGTGATGTTTTTCATATTATATTTCAGTAAAATATGAAAATAAAAGTAAAATAAAAAATTTTTCTAATATCCTTGTGCTTATTTGCAGGAAAACAAAGGGAGGAAACACGGACTTATTGTTATTTATAGTTAAATATGTTGTGGTTGTACTGGTCCGGCCCACATGGAACCTAATCAGGCTGTATGTGGCCCCTGAACCAGAGGTTTGATACCAATGTTCTAAAGCATTTAAACACATTTTAAGCTCCCGCAGGCCACACAAGCTAACTTGGCGGTCCGAATTTGGCCTGCGAGCCTTGAGTTTGACACTTATGCCCTACACTGAACCCATAAGTCAACACGACAGATGGGTTCAGTGTAGGGCGTATGTTTAGTGGCCCATTGGAATTAACGTGGTTAGTGCTTTTTTGGGGTTAGATTCTATGGCAAATTTCTAGAAAAGAAAAACTTCGAAATCGACTTGTAATAAAATCTAACAAAAATATAGTGCAAAAACATCACACAAAAAACACAAACAAGGCATCAAACGAACAAGAACAGAACAACAAATGTCACTCCTGGCCTTTAAATGTCTTAGAAGTGAAGGTAATAAAAGTTTGATAGAATCTTCTGAGGACTTCCTGATTATCCCCAGCTCAGCCAACAGGTCACTCAGATGTTTGATGTGTCGTATACAAACGAGTAAATCTTATATATGGAACTCAAGGCAGCAGATGTTTGATGTTTCGTATACAAACGAGTAAATCGTATATATTTCTGCAGGTGGTCCAGTGAAGCAAAAAAAAAAAAAAAAAAAAAATATATATTAGCAAAAAAAACTTGACCATAAGAAAACATGTTGGTGATGATCATATATCACTGTAAACAAAGCGGCGTATCTCACTACAATGCAGCTGTCACCGCAGTATGGCTGCAGTCTGCTGTGTGGGGGAGTAGCCAGCAAATGTAAATTACGTTAGTCAGAGGAGACTCTAAACAACAAGCTCCCTCACTCCATATTGTAAATCCTCGGCTTTTTCGGAGACAGGGTCTCATAACGATATTTCACAATGACAGAGGCAACCACTATCGACCACCCCCAAAGTTCCTCGCAACATTTTTGTCCCGACATCCCATTCATCATTAAGGATCCCATTATGAAGCGGCGACGGAAGAAGAATGTGTTGTTCTTTCTCGCAGCATCAATCGGTGTTTGAACATTTTTTAACTCGCTCAAAATGCCTTTATGCTCTATGTGTTACATGTGAGAGCCGGGGTTGCTGACATGGGCTTTGTTTGGTAACTGAAATTGCCCGCTCTTTCTCACGGTAATGGACGCGCTGCTTAAGACGACAGGCGTTTCTGCTTAGAGTGCATTCTGGTTCTTTGGAGATGCAGCTTTAATGAGGAAGAAGAACTGCAGGTTGACATTTAAAACATGAACGCTGCAATTTGTGAATGGTGTGTGTGTGTGTACTGGAGGTGAATGGTAGTAGTGTGGTAAAGCAGTGGTGCCCAAAGCACAACAAAGTTTTATTTTGGAAAAACTGCCGCATCTGTCTTTGACTCGGACTTGATGCATGTCAAGATGCTTGCCTCGGTCACATGTCTTACCTACGTCCACTACCTCCTTAAAAGGTCTCCTCCGGCCGGTAACGCATAATACATTACCGCTAAATTTAAACCGCCAAGCTAGCAAAATGAACAACAAACAAACGCTAAAGAAACTACTTAAAATATGGATTTATTGCGACAGGTTGTTTCCACGCACCAACGGCTAGCTAATGTAGCTTTTAGAGAGACCAAGCGTTCTGCATTAAAAGACAACGCGATTTTTACGAGGACGCTGCTAATAAAGCTGCATACACAGTGGCTAAACATTCAGAATTATATTTAAAATATACCCGTTTTTATGGCCGTCGTATCCTTTTATGTATCACTTAACCGGTCGGTGGCGCAAAAAAGGTTTGGGGACCGATGTTGTGAGGGATGTTGAAGTACAATTCCAAGTTTTGTTAGACAAAGGTTTTTTGAATTTATTTGCTATTTCAGAGAGGGAAAAAGGGAAAAAAACAAAGAGAGAGAGAGAGAACGGAGAAGGTTCAGCTCGCCCTCGTAACGATAGCAAGTGATGCAGATTCATGGATTAAGAATGGACTGTGGCCTGATTACCATGCAGCGCAGGTTTGTGCTTAGAAATGGAACAACATGAGGGGATGGAGCCGGGTTGATTAAGAGCACAGCACACACACACAGACACACACACACGTGCTCAATCGCCATGTATTGACTTCCATTCACGCAGATGGCTTTGGGCCGTGATCAAACAGCACGGATGTCGCATGTGAGAGAGAGAGAGAGGGTAGGGATGGTAGTCAAGTGTTTACGTTTGTCTTTGGGACATTATATTTCTTCTTAAATAAGTTCAAGTGATGGAATAAATTGTCGTCAAGGTTGGCCAACGCCCCCCCCCCCAAAACCACTCAGCCTCTTCAGTTTGGCCAACGTCCCCCCCAAAACCACTCTTCAGGAATCAAGTCCATTTGAGTCAAAATGAAAAGTAAAAAACATCGGAATCAAGTCTATCTAAGTCAAAATGAAAAGTAAAAAACATCCAAGTCCGATCCTCAACGAGGTCCTTGGAAAACAGCTTGCTTTCGCCTTACGAATGCTAGCAGTTGCCCCGCCAGGTCCAGCAGTTCCACCAAGGTCGTGTTGAAACCAGACCCTGAACCCCGACCTACGCTGCCCTTCTTTACGCTCGCGCTTAATCTTCCGATTGCTCTCTGCTTCAGCTGAGTACACCGCGCACTTCTCAAGTCCAACAACTCCCTCTGTGGGGAGCGAGGGAGTCCGCCTTAGCCCAGCCAACCATTGGAAACTCATTATTACAGTACTAAGTGATGGATCATTTCCAAATGATCCTCCGCGTACACCTCCACAATTAAGCCACCAGCGAGGCAATTACAGATCAGCAATATAGCAGCGGGACACTGATGTATCGCCAGACTTTAACCTTTGGGCGACTGGACAGATTACACTTATTAAGCTGCAGCATTATTGGACCAATAAAAATCGTTGTGCAGCCATATCTGCCCACATAAGTGCAGAGTGGACATTCTTTTTCGCTTGGGGGGGGGGCGTGGGGGGGGGGCTGAGCTATTGGAGAGGCAGGTGAGGTGGTTTGAGAGGAGAGCAAAGATGAGAAGAGGAGAGAGAAATCTCTAATCTCCAGTGAAAACGATTCCATTAATTCTTCCATTGCGTGATTCTATTTGGTGGCGTGATGTACTGCAGATATTAGCTTGGTTACATCCCACTGCTGTGGCCCACTCTCTATGGATAGATAACATACTTCTATCTATATATCTATCCATCCATCCATCCATTCATCCATCCAACCATCCAACCATCCATCCATTTACTTTTTTCTATTGGACTAAAGCTAAACCACACTGTACAATTGTCGGTTAAATTCAACTTTTGTCTTCTGTGGAGACTTTTTTGTAAAATAACACACTTGCCTTGACAATCTTTAAAATATGTTAATAAATAAAAAATAAATAAATAAGAAACCTACAAACTGTTTCGAATTCCAACGAATGACAGATAAGACAAGATTTCCCCTCGGCGTGCGGCGCGGTTACAGCTCGTGGGCTAAATCGCATTAAGTTATCAGGGGAAACTAATGACGGCCGATGACAAGATGATGGGAGAGAAATGAGTCTAAATCACCTGAAATGAGCAATAAATCAATGCACGGTGTGAGAAAAAAAAACAAAA